CAGGATACACTCCCCCCACCCTCTACCCCCCACATGTGCACACATGCGCCCTCAGCCAGGCACGCAATCTCCCTGCCACTGCTCTCCTACTTCTCCCAGCGCCCCCCCCCCCATATCAGCTTCCTCAGATTAGGGGCTGGACACACACACATCCCCAGGCCACCTGCCGCACTGCGGAGCCCCCCCCATCCAGGCCTGGAAGGAGAAAGAGAGGTCATCTGGTGCTCACCCCATAGCCCAGACCTGTCCCCACCCGGCTGGGGAAGCAGAGGGGTTTCAACACCCCCAGACACAAACACCAGCTCTCAGACACACCCAGACACTAATGCAGTCAGACACAACCTGGGCCACACGATCGCTGGCAGACGGTGCTGGCAGGACCGGACAGAGCCAGGAGCTCACGCGCGCACACACGCACACGCACACATCGGTGGAGCGTGCAACCGCACCAGGTCAGGCAGAGCTGTCGAGGGCCGGTCGGTGCCCCACGGACCCCGCACACAAAGACACGCCAACATACGCCACAGACCCCGCGGCCCCAGGCGGCCCCGAGCACACGCTCAACCAGCGGCACAACCAAACGGACGGGCCGGGTCCCGCGGACCTGGGCCCGGAGCGCAGGGGTCCCGGAGCCCCCGCCCCCCCGCAGACACCCAATGTCACTGGACCCACAATGTCGCACACACGCACCGCCCGGCCGGTCCCAGCACCTACCCCCATCTTGGCGGCTCCGGGGGGGAAAGGGGTGGGCGGGCGGGGCGGGGGCCGGGGCAGAGGCCTCAGAGCGGGCTCAGGCGCGGGCTCGGGCTGGGGGGCCTCTGCAGCGCCCGCGCCTCGGTCCGCGGGTCGGTCCAGCCGGCAGCCCTCCCGCACAGAGTCTGCGGCGGCCGCCGCCTCCGCCTCCTCATATGCCCGCGCCCGCGGGGGGGCCGTCGCCGGCCAATCAGGGGCGCCGCCGCCCTGACGGATGGCCCGCGGCCCCGCCCCCGGTACTGCAGCTGTCCTCCCCGCCCCCCCAGCCTCCGCAAAGTGGCGGCACCGCCGAGAAGGGGGAGCGCCGCAGAAGGGGGATCCCGAAGACCCCTCAATGAAGAATGTGGAGACCCCCGCAATGGGGAGCTGAGGAAGATAGGGCCCCCAAAATCCCCTCACTGTGGGGGTGTTGCCACAGCGAGAGAAGGGTGCGCTGGGGGAGGTGGACACCGGGTTGGGGGGAAAACCCTTTAAACCACCACAGTAAGGCAGGGGACACAGCGGACTGGAAGGGGGGCTGGAGACCTTGTGGAGGTGTTGTTCAGGAGGGGGAGCTGCAGGGCGCCTAAGACGCAAGGAAGACCCTACAGTGAGGAGGGTTACTGCAGAGGGGAAATGAGCCTTGAGGCCCTCTCAGTAGTGTGCGCCCCCCCCCACACACACACAATGGCAGAATTCTGCAGGGAGACCCATCACAGCCAGAGGACCCCATCAAGCCTCACACTCACGCCCAAGCATCATCCAGATAGCCCAGATGGGGAGGACACACACATCCAGCATCCATCACACACCAGCACAGTTTCACCATCACATTCCAAAACACACCAGCGTGGATGCTCACACACATACCACAACACCCCATCACACAACCCGAGATTCACCAACATGTGGAAATAAAATGCACCCCCTCACATCGCAGCGGAATTACAACCATGGTCATAAATGGCTGTGTAGACTGACTCACACCCTGCGAACACTACATCACAGACGTGCACATCACACACTCCACCACCGCACCTGGCCTCAAATCATTTCACACAGAGACCCACAACCACGCAGCCCATCAACCCACAGACCCACACATACCCACACATGGTACCATCACCTGCTTACAGGCCTCACACTCCCCCACGCACCCCAGGAGCCTCTGTGGTCCCTGCTGCAGTCACACAACAGCACACACATAACCACCCACACTCCTCCCCAGGGGGCAGAAGTCCACAGGGCACAATTGCCAAAGTGTCGCTGATTGTGAATGACAGATGAAAAGGTGCACACAGACTCACACACAGGACAATAATTCCCAGAGACAGATCTCATGACACCATCCCCACTTCCCACACTGCACAGACACCTTTGCTGCACTTACAAACACCCCCCCCAGTGCCCCCGCCCACACGCCACACATGTCCCAGCTCAGCGTGCGTATGCACACACACCCCCAGGCCTGCCACATACACACAACACCCCATCAGCCACTCGTCATAGCCCCAGCAGTCACAGCCTCTCACCCCTACTCTTTGCTCTCTGAGGAACACCTCAGACTTGCCCTGGGGATTATAGAAGGGGCAGAGAGCAAGTCAAAGTCTGTCCCTGTAGCTTCCTCAGAATGTGGGTATTCTCCCCACCTGTGGGAGTGGAGGCGTGGGGGACACAGGCAAGGGGCACAGAGTGGGCCTGGTGTGTGTGGGTCGTGAAAGTTAAAGGTCTGATCAGGGAAATATGTGAAAGGCTAAAAGCCAGAATGAGGCACCAAAAAAGATAAGAGAAACAGAGAGACAGATTTGAAGCTGAAGAGAGACAGACACGGACAAGGAGACAGGGCCTGGGAGTAAAGGGGGACAGGAAGCCAGCTTCCCTGGCTTTCCCCAGCATCCAGAGCCTCGGCCCAATCCTGTACTCTGACCCATCCCCATCCGTCCCTGCTGTCCCTTGTTGCCATGGTAATAGGGAGGCCGAATGTGCAGCAAAGGAGGCTGGGCCTGCAGACCTGGCCCGTCTCCATGGAGACTGGGGAAGGCGGGGGGGGAGCCACATCTTCTAGCCCAGGTGATTGGCCCCCAGGTCTCCTCTGCAATTCTGCCCCTTCCTGGGGGTGTGTGTGGTTGGGGGAGGATCTGTCAACATATTGTCTCTCCCCACCCCCCCACCTACACCTTGTCTGTTTCTGGCAGGGATGGGCCTGGACCACAGGTAAGGGGCTTGGGGGGGGGACAGAGATGCCTAAAGATGTTTGGATCCCAGGAGATTCTAGGTTCTCTCTCTCCCTGTTCTCCAGTTCGGCTGAGGGAGACCTCGGCCCCACCATGCGACACCCTAGATACAGGCTTGTGTCCCCCTTTATGCACTCCCTCCTCAGACACAAGCCTGGTGAGACTGATGACTGTGCACCATGCTCCCAGCGCGAGGCTCTGCGGAAGTTGGGGTGGGGAGGAGGAAAGACTTAGGAAGGTCACAGGGATGGACAGGGACAGGGGAGCTTGGTGAGGGAGACATAAGAAGAGACTTAAGAGGAGAAATGGACACAGTTCAGAACCAGGTAGAAGCAGATACAGATTGACAAAGGCAGGGAGACTGGCAAAGACAGATAAAAAAAAAAAAAACAAATGGAGGGAAATAAGAGCAACAGAATTACTCCATGAAGGTGACAGAGAGCCACAGGGACATGGAGAGCCAGGAAGAGACACATTTGGCAAACTGGGGAGACTCAGAGATAAAGACCAGGGAGATACATGGAGCAGAAACAGGGAGGGGTGGGAAGATTCGGAAATGGGGAGAGACCTCATAGATCAGCTGCATGGTATGGGGACAGAAAGCTGGAGAGACCAAAAATATCTGCAATCATATTCTAGTCACCTCAACAGACTGAACGTCTATCCCAAGGGCAGAGACATTGATTAAAGTCTGACCAATAGATGTGGGGCCAAAGAGACCCTGAGACAAGCTCGACCCCACACCTGTCCCGGAGGCGCACACACACAGCAAGGGCCGGAGACCCAGAAGGGGCTGAGCAGAGACTGAGGGTGCTATGTACCAGGTGAGGAGGTCTCCTGGATGTGGCCTGCCTAAGCTCTGAGAAGGCAGGCGGGCCCTGCAAGGGAGACAGGGCAGTGTGCACCAGTCCCCACCATGCTGGTGCTGAACGGACAGCTCCCGGATTCCGGCACCCTGCGGGAGAGAAGAGCCCAGCCTCTCCACTGCCCAGCCTCTCCACTCCCAGCCCAGTCTCACTCTGTCTGGCTTTCCTCACCAGTCCAGCCCCCTCCCCTCTCCATCTAGTTTTCTTTGGCTTCCCATCTCTAGCCAGCCTCTGTCTCACTTCAAGCTATGCTTCTCTCAGCACCAGTTCCCCTGGGTCTAACTTCCCTGCTTCATCTATCTCCCTGCCTGTCTCAGTCTCTTGTCCCCTTCTCCATTCTATCTCACCTAATCACGGTGTCTCCCTCTGCCTCTCCCCCTCCCTCTTGCCCCGCTCCTAGTCTCTTCCCATCTCTCTCTCCCCCACCCCTGCCCCATCTCTTCCTCTCCACCTCTCCCCCTTCTACTCGGCCTCCTTATGGCTCTCGCTGTGTGACCTTCACTCGTCCTTTCTCAGCTGCAGTTTCCAGTGGAAACCTCCAGCGGAGCACGGGGGCGGGGGGGGGGGGGAGGGGGGGAGGAGGGAAGGCGGGGACAGAAAGCAGACCCACCCCTCTCCCTACTCCTCTCCCTGCTCAACCAGCCCTTCAGCCACCCCCACCCCCTACCACTGGGATTTCTCACTTCCTCTCTTGGGGGTTGGGAAGGCACACTTTCAGCAGAAACACGGGGTCACAGCCATAGACAGTTGAAGACAGCCTCATGGGCGTACATACAAACACATGTTCACAATTAAAAAGTCACCAGATCACCCTGGCCCCAGCACACACTTGTCACCGTGTGGCCACACCAGGAACCGCCACACTAAACAGTTCTCTAACCTTCCCCACCCCCCAACCCCATCTGGTTTCTTTCTGTGTCTCTGTTCCCTGGTGTCTCCGCCTCTCCAGATCCCTGCATCTTTCTCCATCTGTCTCAGGGTCTCTGTCACAGCCTCCTTCTGTCCTGAGATAAGGTCAGTGGAGAGAGGCCAGCTGACAGGACCTGGGCTGACCTGCTGCCTGAGGGCAGGGCCCAAGGGTGAAGAGAGTCCAGGAGTGACCATCCAGTGTGTGGTTCTCAGCAGACTCCCTGGGGAGCCCAAGCCTTTAATGCTCTCACATCCCCAGGAAATGAGACCCAGGTATCCCCAGTTTTGGGGTTTTGTTCTTTTTTTTATTCCAACAGGGACCGGGGGTGTGGCAGGGGGAGGGATGGGGGCCCAACTGACCTCCTCCCTGGGGGGGGTCTCATAGAAATTCCGAGGTTTCTCCCCAAAAAAAAGAGAGAAAGAGAAGAGTTAAGGGGCGCCAGGGGACACCCATCTGCCCAGAAGCCCTCCCCTCCTCCAGAAGTAGGGAGGGCTGTGTCAAGTCTTGGGGAGCCTGAGCAGTCCCAGGATGGAGCTCTCCTCGCGGACTGCTTTCCGCTTCTGGAATGGCCCCACAGTCCCGGGCCCCTGAAGTCCTCGGTTCCTGCGCTCATGTCCGCAGTCGGGGGCGGAGTGCAGGGTCCGCGGCACCCTCTGGCGAGTCCACTAGGGGGCGCAGGCAGGCTCCAGAGCCGGGCCTCGGACTTCACCATGAGCCGAAGGCAAAATCGCGGCGTCCGGAGTACCGGGCCACAAGTCCCGTCCCTTGTCCACTGGGGAAACGGGAGCGGCCCGGGCCTGGGGCGGGTCCCGTCCCTGCAATCAGTCCGGCCGCCAGCCCGGCTCCGCCCATGGTCACTCGTGCTCGGCCAGCTCTCGGGGGCCGGTGGGGCCCGGCCGCGGCCGGGGCGGGCTGGTGGCTTCAGCGGGGGCACCTAGGCCACGCGGGGGCGCGCCGGCCCCGGACGCCCGCAGCGCCTGGATGCGCCGACATTCCTGGCAGACGCGCACGTGGGTGCAGGGCGTGGGGGCAAGAGGCCTGGCCCCGCCAGGCGGCCCCGGGTCGTCCAGGAGGCGCTGGGGGCCCCCGTGCGCCCCGCCCCCATCCCCGCCCGCGCCGGCCGAGTAGAGCTTGCCATTGCTGAGGCGCATCTCGCGGACTGCGCGCAGCGACAGTAGGGCCCGGCTAGGGCCGCCCGGGCGCCGGCGGCGGCGGGAACGCGAAGTCTTGCGGCAAGACACCGCGTGCCGCAGCTCCTGCAGCATCTCCTGGCACACCGACACCTGTGGGCGGCGCAGAGCGGGGCGCGGGGGTCACCGTCCGACCGCCATCCCTGGACCGGCCTCCGCGTCTTCTCTCCCCCCCCCCACCACCCCCAGCTCCATTCCTCTTCACTGTTCCCCTCACCTCTCCGCCTCTCCACCCTGTCTCTCCGCTTCCCTCGCCCCTTCCATTCTCAGAGTCCTCCCTCGCCTCCTATCTCGTCTCCTCTCTTTCCATTTCTTATCACTGCTGAGTCTCTGACCACCTCCTGCTTGTTTTCCATCTTCTGCCTCTCATTCATGCTACCATTATTGCAAGACATTTACTGAGCCCCAGCTGTATGCAGAGAACAAAACAGAGGGAAGTCCCTGCCCTCCTGGAGGGTGATTTCCAGCATGCAGAGACCAAAAAAACCCAACCAACCAACCAAACAAAAAACCCAAACCCAAAACCAAAACCAAACAACCCCCCCCCCAAACAACAACAAAGCTGTAAATAGAGGTAGCAGGTTAGCTGGTGTCGAGTGCCTTGGGGAAAAATAAGAGAGGGAAGAGCTGGGAGGTCATGCTGCATCTGGAGTAGGGACGTCGGGGAACACTCATGGCAAAGAGGAGCTTCAGTGAGACTGAAAGGCAGGGCGGGGTGAGCCCTGGAGCCTGGGAGGAGGGCAAGCAGGTACCTCAGCAAGGACAGAGGTGCTGAGGGGGCGGGGGAGAACCACCAGGGTGGCTGGACTGGGGACACAGGCGGACAGAGGGAGAAGAGGAGGTCAGAGGAGCAATGGGGCCCCTGGGCTGCTATGAGGGTTTGGCTTTTTCCCAGTGAGGTGGGAGGCACTGGGGAGCTTTGAGGACTGTGGTACTTTCACTATGTTGAGAACAGACTAGGAAGGCCAAGGGCAAGCCGAAGGGCAGTGGCCAAGGAGGTGAGAAGGGGCTGGATTCTGGGTATATTTCAAGGGTGGAGCCAACAGAACTGGCTGAGATCAAGAGGAGGCTGAAGGGTAATCACACCATGGCCTGAGCAGGCGGAATGTCGCTGGTGTCTGGTGCATGGGCAGGAGCCCTGCACTGGCCACGTGACGCTCCGTGGGCTCTCTGTCAGACATCCACAGGGAGATGTGGAGTATGGGGCTGAGTGTACAAAGCCTGGGTCCAGGGAGAGGCCCCCGGGGGGGAGGCACATGGGGAGCTTAAGGCAGGTAGCTTCCAGGGTCCTGCCCCCCAGTGTTCCCACCCTCCGGAATCCCCTCTGCCTTTGGATTGGGGCTGCTGTGTGACCAGCAGTCTACAGCTAGTCAGGTGACTAGTCAGCTGACATTTTGGCCTCTGCTGGGTTCGCCTTTGGATCACTCGCTCTGGGGGAAGTCAGCTGCCACGGTGTGAGGACACCCAAGCAGCCCTACGGAGAGGTCCCCGTGGGAGGGACTGAGGCCTCCTGCCCCTGCCAGGGGAGTGTGTGTTCCTCCTGTTCGTTGCTCTGTCTCAGAATGTTCTGACATCTTAAAAACCTTGCTGGCCCGGGAGAGACTGGCCCTCCCAGAGCTAGACAATTCTTAGGGATAGCAAAGGGCTGGGAACCCATCTTTTATATGCAAACCAAGCAATCCCAATACCTCTGCAGCCCCCACCCCAGCCCCCCACCCACTTAACCTAACTCTCATACCCAGCTGCCCTAAATCACCCAGGACCAGGTACATACCACTAGAGACCACCCCTCTAGCCCAGAGCCTACTGACATTATCAACATCAGCCAGTTCTAAGCTGCTTTCCCTGCGGGCCTTGCCTTTCATGCAGAAACCCCAGTGAAGACTGTGGCCCAGGCTGTCCTCCAGCTCCAGCCCCTGACCAAACCCAGTGCTACCCCTGTGGCCCAGTGGGGTGTGGCATGACCCCTCCTGGGAAGTATAAGTAAATAAGAATCTTCCTTCAATGGCATTGGCCTCTCCATGTCATCACTTAGTCACCTCCTTAAATCAAAATCTTGCAAGTGCATCGGGAGACAGTAGGCCACCTTGGAAGTGCACCCTCTGGCTCCAGGCAAGTCTTCGGCCAACAGTATGACCATGACTTCACTAGAGACCCTGGCAGCTAGAACCACTCAGCCAACCCGCTCCCAGACTTTTGACCCATAGAAACTGTAAACTGATGTTAAGCGTGCTGCTCGAAGCTGCTATGTCTTAGGGTGAGCTACGGTAATAAGTAACTAATACGGGTCATCAGCACAGCAGTGGCCTCACAAACCATTTTGCTGGGTGGGATCACCAAGGGGCAGGAGAAAGCCAGAGAAGAGTCCAGGAAGGAGCCCTAGGGGCCTTGACAAAGGATTGGTCACAGAAGAAGGAGAAAAGTGAGGCATGAGCCCGGAGGAGAGGGTCTTAAGGACCGTGATCAGCTATGCTGAAGCCTATCACTACCTCACATATGGTGGGGCCTGAAACTCGGGCAGTGGATCCCAGTCGTGGGATGGCGAGTGGTGACCAGTGGCTTCAGTGCGGAGGTGGGGACAACAGCTGGATGGGAGCATGTTCAAGAGAGAATGCAGGAGGGGGACTGAAGCAGCAGACAGATGCGCTCTTTCAAGGTTGTAAGGTTCGGGGAGAAGTGGGGTGGTGTCTGGGAGGGGAAGTGGGGTCAAGAGAAATTTCTGGAACATGGGAGAGAAGACAGCATGTTTGTATGCAGGTAGCCTTGATCCAAGAGAGAGGAAGAAACTGACGATGGGGAGAGGGTGCAGAGAACCACAGAGGAATGTCCTTGGCAAGAGAGGGGATGGGGGCACAGGGAAGGGCGCCTTAGCGGGAGCATGCACGTTGCCTCGGAGTAACTAAACAGGTTGTGGAGAAAGCAGGCAGGTGCCCAGATGTGAAGTCTGTATGCTTTCCTTGGGCTCCTCCGAATTTCTCAGGGAAATGGAAGCGAGGTTGTCAGCCCAGGTGAGGAGGGGGAGGGGCTGGGAGGGGAGGTGGAAGGCCACGGGAGCATGCAGGGGCAGGAGCAGGAGATGGAGGAGTGTCCCTGGGCAGCAGCGGCCCCACCCACCTCTCAGTTTCTCCTGGCTTCACCCCCTGCCCCTCCCCACATCCTTCTCCCTCCTTTCCTCCTCATCCTCAGCTCTGTCCCTGCAGCTTTCCCTTCTCTGGCCTTCCTCCACCTGGCTCCCCTCTCCCTTCTGTTTGCACCCACCTCTTTTGAACCCCCTCTGCCCCAGGGGTCTCTCAGGTCATATCCCCCCCCACAGTCCCAGTCCCTTACTGCCTCTGACATTCCTCCAGGAAGGCCACAATCTCCACGCCCCTCCACCCCAGGCACACTTCCCCCCCACACTCCCCCCCCCACCCTCTTTGCCAACCCCCTCACCTCTTCAGACTCTGCCGACCTCCGTGTGGACCATATGAATTCCATGACCGCCACGAAGACAGCAATGATGAGACCACAGATGAGCACAACAAAAATGCCACCAATGTTCTCCATGCCCAGACCTGGGGGTGGAGGGGGAAAGCCACGGGGTCGGGGCTGTGTGGGCACGGGGGCCACAGAGGGCTTGGGGAATGGCACGGTGCGTGGGGCCGCTGACCTTTAGCTCGATGATCCTCCTCCTTGGGGCACCGGCCCCCCTCCCACCACTTGCGCTTCAGGATCTCCAGCCGGTTGTTCTCCTGAAGCTGCAGGATGGCCAAGGTGATCTCATCCCGGAATGGGGAGCCTGGACCAGACACACAAGGGGGTGACTGGCCATTGGGGCCCTGAAGCGCTGCCTACCCAAACCCCTACCATGCCCTCAGCACGGCCCTTCCTCCTGCCTCCGCCACACCCCTGGGTCCTCTGTCCATCTTCGAGTCTGAACACTGCTTGCCTTGACCTCCCCTGCAACCGCCCCCAATACACCACGTGTCACATTTGTGACGGTCCCCTCCCTGCAGCTCTCCTCACCTCCCACCTAGGCTCTTCCTAACACAGTCGTAAACTGAGTCCTAGATCTTGCCTCTTTGGTGCTCAAAATTCTCCAGTGGATTCCTGATGCAGAGAGAACCCGGTCCTCCCCTCAGCCTAGAGATCCTACATTCACTCACCCCGCCCCCATCCCCTGGGGCTCTTGCTGCCCACCCCCCAACCCCGCCCCAGGCTTGCAGCTCTGGCCACACCGGCCTCTGGGCTGTTCCTTGAGTCCTCCAGACACAATCCCACCTTAGCACTTCTGCCTGGAATGTTCCTTCCTTCATATCACCCAGGGCTCTACTCACATGGTACCTCAAGGGATCTCTGGTCAACTTCCAAGCACCCCCCTCCCCGTCAGTCCCGTCCCCTGAATTTACTTTGGAGCAGTTGTGACCACCCGATATGGCTTTATAAAGCCAGGTGTTTACTGTCTGCCTGCTGTCTGCGCACCCCCGGCAGGAGGTGGGGGGCTCCTCAGCTCCCTGGTCTGGGATCCCAGCATGCAGCATGTGCCCAGCACACAGCAGGGCATCCAACAGTCTGCTTGTGAGTGATTCTCTGCTGCAGGGCTTCAGCCCCGGACCCCTTCTCTCCTCCCTACCCTCAGACCCTCGCCTTAAGCCACCCTTAGGTCCCAAACACCCCACACATGTCCTACCCCGGACTCATTTCTTCATTCGCTATGGCACTTCTCAAGCCCCTGCCAGGGGCCAGGAACAAGGGCCGTGGGCGAGTGGAGGCATTACTATTTATCAGTCACCCTCTACGTGCCGGATCCTCGGTTTAGAGGCATTAATTTGAAGCCCTCCTGATCCTGGTTATTATCAGGTGTTATCACCCCTTCTTCTGGATGGGGCAGGTGACATTCTTGCCCAAGGTCATGCACAGAGTCAGGGAGGGAGCTGGGATTTGAAACCAGGTCAGTGTGACTCCAGAGCCTGCCCCCCAAAGCACTGGGCTAGCCTGCTTCCTTGGCCCAGCACTTCGAGAAGCATGGAACGGCTAAGATTTGAGGTCATTGGTTACACAGCAATAGAGAACTAACAGCAGACAGTGGCAGAGAGATGGATTTAAAAGCCAAGATGTCAAGGTTTGGTGACAAAATTTGGTGGGTTTCCAGCACTGGGCCCTGGAAAAGCAGGTCCAAGTTTCCCTGGCAGATCCACCCATCCCTCCCTCAGAAACCCCCTTCCTCCCCCACCTTTTCTTCCTCCCTCCCTCCTCCATCCATCATCCATATTCTCAGCACCCTGTGAGCCAGGCTGTCGGTTCCAGGCAGAGAACATGGCCCATAAAATCAGGTCTTCACCCTCAAGGAGTCCTCAGGCCACAAGGGAAGGTGGCAGGTGTCACGTCCCATAAGCACTGGGGCTGCACCTAGTCTCACTGGGCTCTCCCAGAGGCCATGCAAGCCTGGAACTGACTGTTGCTAGACCCGTGTTTGCAGCCCAAGTGTGGAGGTTCGGGATGGTAGCACACAGTCAGGAGGCCATGCAAGACATGCACAATGCACCTAGCCCGCTGCAGGGAGGGCATGGCCCTGGACGCCCCCCTGCCCCGCCTCCCCACTCGTCCGGCCTTCCGGCTCCCTACCCAGCGGCATGCCGATGCCATAGCCCTTGGTGTCGAGGAGGCCCCCGATCTGGGTGAGGTTGCAGTTGAGCCGCCGGTGGTACTCGTTCATGGTAGACTCGAGCAGGAAGGCGTAGCGGGAGTTGAGGACACGGGCAATGCCTTCCTCCGTGCTCTTGACAAACACACTGGGCTGCTTGGACTGCATGTAGTTCCACATGCGTTGGTACGTCTGGTACCGTGAGTTCTGGCCAGAGGGGGCACAAGGGGATGTCAGGGGTGGGTCTGTCCCCTCAGCCCTGTCCCCTGCCCTGCAGGAGGCTTCTCTCAACCGGAGAGTGAGCGAGGAGACCAGAGGGAGCAGAAAGAGCCAAAGGCAGAGCAGAGGGATGAGACAGTTCAAGGCCAGGTCCAAGTCATCCACACACCCACGAGACCAGTGAGGACCCGAGGACCAAAGGCTTGGGAAGAAGGGGCCACAGTCTGTTCTCCAGCCTGTCTTCTCTCTTCCACTCCTGGGTCTGGCTTGGCCTGACACCCAGCCCTGTCTTCCCAGCATTCCCAGGCCTTACATGCAGAAGCTCAATCCCAAATTTACCCCGGGCCCAGCCTGAGTCCGGAAGACCTGTGTCCCTGCCAAACAGGACAGTTTACTTCCTTCAGGCTCTGTAGGAACCTTCTGGGAAATGCCTCACCCTGCCCCAGTTACAGCCCCGAGGCTTCATAAGCCTGGGGTGGGGGGCATGTAGAAGCCAGGCTGGGGATGCCCACCCCTGCCACGAATCCCAACACCTGTCCTCCTTCTTTGATCTGAGGTCCAGACACTGCTCTACCTTTGTGCCCTACAGGCTCTCCCCAGGGCTCAGCAATCTCACAGACCTACTTCTCTGGTCTTGCAGCTGCTCCCCAGCCTCCCAAACTGTCTCGAACATCCATCTGACCCAGGAGGCCCTGCCCAGCCCCACCCCGGGTGGCTACACGTGGCAGGGACAGCAAGCCCAGGTGACTCAAAGGTCCCACCTGAAAGAAGGTCATGGTGGACCCAGCATGGATCGTGCCGTACTCAATGTTGGTCTGGTCGGCCAGGTCGTCGGCTGACTCCACGGGCACCTCCATGCGCTGCACGGTGAGGAAGGCGGCCAGGTTGGCCGTGTAGGAGGAGATGATGATCAAGGTGAAAGCCCACCTGAGGGGTAGAGTGAGCCACAGTCTGGAGCCGTGCCTGCCACCCTCCCACTGTGGCCGTGCGCCCTGTTGGCGGAGCCCCTCAGTGACCTCGGCGTCTAGAAGGCTTCGCAACTGCTGACTCGTGGGAAGGCTGGGAGAACAGATGCTGGGGCCTGACTCTCTGGGTTTAATGTTGCTTCCAGAGAGTTCCATTTCCAGAAATAAGAGAATAAGGTACCCAGAAAAAACCCTTCCACTGTGAGTAACTAGAAAACTGGACAAACTATAGAAAACTATTTAAAGACCTAGGACAATAGGCATCATAAGACTGTAATCCCTGAGGGAAAAAAAAAAAAAAAACAATGAAGTGAGACATATCATTGCCCAGGCTGTCTGGCTGAGTTTAATTTACAGGCTGTGGTGCCAGGAAGGGAAACCCAGTCTGGCAATCTCACTGAGTTGCAGAGTGCGGATCAGAGAGGCCAACATGGCTAGAATTTGTGGGACAGAGAATCCAAGAAGAGGGAGATACACAGGGAGAGAAGGTTCCAGAAATCTGCTCAGAGTCCCCTTGAATCTTTGGCTGATTACCAATCTGTGTACACTTAGGGTAAAACTCCAAGAAACCAGAGAACTGCTTTCAAAGACAACAATCAGGGGTGCCTGGGTGGCTCAGTCGGTTAAGTGTCTGCCTTCAGCTCAGGTCATGATCTCCAAGTCTGGGGATGGAGCCCCACGTAGGGCTCCCTGCTCAGTGGTGAGCCTGCTTCTCCCTCTTCCACTCCCCCTGCTTGTGCTCTCACTCTCTTTCTCTCTCTGCCAAATAAATAAATTCTTAAAAAAAAAAAAAAAAAAAAAAAAAAAGACAACAATTACCAGGGTTCACACAGGGCTGGGAATCTTTTGAGCTCTCTCCAGTCAGAGTAATGAGATCTCACTGAATACATGAGACATTCAGCAAAGACCCCAAAGGACAACACATTACAAACAGAGCTAAGTCAGCCCTAGAATATAAAGGCCATGCCAGAACTGCCCTCAAAGAGCTGGAAAGGATCAAAATTATCCACAAGGAACTTGACTGCCTGCCAGAGAAAGTTGAAGACTTTCTAAAGTAATATATTCAACAATGTAAACAATGTACAATTCACAATGTCTGTCATTTAGTAAAAAATTACCAGATATGCAACTGTGCAGGGAAGGGGGCCCCTGGGTGGTGCAGTGGGTTAAGCATCTGACTCTCGGTTTCAGTTCAGGTCTGAGCTCAGGGTTGTGAGATCAAGCCTCACATTGGGCTCTGGGCTCACCTCAGAGTCTACTAAAGTGTCTCTCTCCCTTTCCCTTTGACTCTCCTCACTCACTCTCAAATAAATAAATAAATCTTTTAAAAAAGGAAACAAAGGTGCAGGAAACAGTGAGAGAAAAATCACTCAATTGAAACAGACCCAGAATTGGCAGAATGATGGAATTAGCAGATGAGGGTATTAAAAAGCTATTATGGGTATATGCAGAATTCTCAAGGATATAAAGAAAAACTGGAATGTAACTAGAGAGAAATATTAAAAAAGGAGCAAATGGAACATCCAGAGATTAAATATATGACATCTGAGTGGGAAATTTTACTGGAAGGGATTACATAGATCAGATATGCAGCAGAAAAGAACAGAGAATTAGAAGACAGCAATAGAATCTATTCAAATTGAAGTCAGAGAGGGGGAAAAGTGTCTGACAATGAGCACGAAGCTTGAGTGGCCTGTTGAAAAGTATCAAGTGGTCTTTACCTATGTGATTGGAATCCCATAAGGAGAGAAAAGGAAGAGGATAAGAGAAAAAAGTATTTGAAGAAGTAGTGGTCAAAGCTTTTTCAAATCTGATAAAAATTATAAACCAGCAGATCTAAGAAACTCAATGAAACCAAAGTAGGATAAACACACATATACACAAAACCCATCAAATCACGTTACAATCAATCACTGAAAACCAGTGATAAGGAGAATATATATTTTTTTCTTTTTTAGAGAGAGAATATGTGCTGGGGGCTGGGGTGGGCTGAGGGAGAGTGAGAATTTTTTTTTTTATATTATTTATTTATTTATTTGACAGACAGAGATCACAAGTAGGCAGAGATGCAGGTGGAGACAGAGGAGGAAGCAGGCTCCCTGAAGAGCAGGGAGCCCGATGTGGGGCTTGATCCCAGGACCCTGAGATCATGACCTGAGCCAAAGGCAGAGGCTTTAACCCACTGAGCCACCCAGGTTCCCCGAGAGAGAGAATATTAAGCAGGCTCTATACTCAGTGCGGAGACTGGCTCAGGGCAGTCTCACAACCCTGAGATCGTGACCTGAGCCAAAATCAAGAGTCAGATGCTTCACCAACTGAGCCACTCAGGAGTCCCTAAAGAATATCTTAAAAGCAGCCAGAACTCTCTTTCTCTCTCAAACACAGAAATCTTAAAAAAAAAAAAAAAAAAAAGTATACAGTGGGCGCCTGGGTGGCTCAGTCTTGTAAGCATCCAATTTGGTTTCGGCTCACATTGAGATCTCAGGGTCATGAGATAGAGCCCCATGTCAGGCTTCCTCAGTGCAGACTCTGCTTAGGATTATTTTCTCCTTCTGCCCCTCCCTCCTGTGCTCTCTTGCTCTCTCTCTCAAATAAATAAATCTTTTTTTAAAAAAGGTTTTAGGGGTACCTGGGTGGCTCAGTGGTTTAAAGCCTCTGCCTTCGGCTCAGGTCATGACCCCAGGGTCCTGGGATGGAGCCCCATATCGGGCTCTCTGCTTAGTGGGGAGCCTGCTTCCTCCTCTCTCTCTCTCTGCCTGCCTCTCTGCCTACTTGTGATTTCTGTCAGTCAAATAAATAAATAAATAATCTTTAAAAAAATAAAATAAAGGGGCGCCTGGGTGGCTCAGTGGGTTAAAGCCTCTGCCTTCAGCTCAGGTCATGGTCTCAGGGTACTGGGATCGAGCCCCGTATCGGGCTTCTGCTCAGTGGGGAGCCTGCTTCCCTCCTCTCTCTCTCTGCCTGCCTCTCTGCCTACTTGTGATCTCTGTCAAATAAATAAATAAAAATCTTTAAAAAAAATAATAAAATAAAATAAAATGTTTTAAAAAGGTTTTAGTTATTTATTTGACACAGAGAGAGATAGCGAGAGAGGGAATTAAAGCAGGGGAAGTGGGAGAGGGAGAAGCAGGCTTCCCGCTGAGCAGGGAGCCCGATGCGGGGCTCCATCCCAGGACCCTGAGATCATGACCTGAGCCAAAGGCAGATGCTTAATGACCGAGCCACCCAGGTGCCCCTCAAATTAAGAAATCTTTAAGAAAAGAAGTGGGGTGCCTGAGTGGCTCAGTCAGTTAAGCATCTACATTCGGCTCAGGTCATAACCCAAGGTTCTGGGATCAAGCGCCGCATCAAACTCTCTGCTCCGCAGGGACCTTGCTTCTCCCTCTCCCTCTGCCTGCCTCTCTGCCTACTTGTGTCTCTATCTGTCAAATAAATAAATAAAATCTTAAAAAGAAAATAATTAAAAAAAAAAGCCACCAGAAGGGAGGAAAACATACATGAAGAATCAAAATTAGAGTGACAACACACTTCTTATCAGAGTCAGGAGACCATGCAACAATGTGCTGAAAGGGAAAAACAACCTGTCAATCTTATATTCTGTATCAGTCAAAAGGATCCTTCAAAGAAGGAAACACACTAGCTAATTTTTCATACAAACAAAAACTGGGAGAATTAATATATTTTTTAAGATTTTATTTATTTATTTGACAGAGAGAGATGGAGAGCGGGAACACAAGCACGGGGAGTAGGAGAGGGAGAGGCAGGCTCTCGGCTGAACAGGGAACTGATGTGGGGCTCGATCCCAGGATCCTGGGATCATGACCTGAGCCGAAGGCAGAGGTTCTAGCCTCACATTGGATGTAGAAATTACTTAAAATCTCTTTCGGGTGCCTGGGTGAGTCAGTCGGTTAAGTGTCTGCCTTTGGCTCATGTCATGATCCCAGGGTCCTAGGATCAAATCCTGCATCGGGCTCCCTGTTCAGTGGTGAGCCTGTTTCTCCCTCTCCTACCCACCAACCCCCAACTCATGCTCTGTCTGTCTCAAATAAGTAAATAAAATGTTTCAAAAAATAAAAATAAAAGAAATTTACTGTTTAAACACACACACACACACACACACACACACATAAACCTCATATGTTGTAAGGTTCGTAAGATAAACAGAAGTAATACATATGGGAGGGATGGAATACTGCCGTAAAGATCTCCAACTTATGTGAAGTAGGGGAATGTTACTTGAAATTATTTTGTAATCAATTAAAAAGGCATATTGTAAACCCAAAGCAAGCAACTACTGAGAAAAAAATTTGTAAAAATATGCTTCATATGGGCACCTGGGTGGTTCAGTTGTTAAGCAGCTGCCTTCGGCTCAGGTCACGATCCCAGGGTCCTGGGATCGAACCCCGCATTGGGCTCCCTGCTCAGCGGGGAGCTTGCTTCTCCCTCTCCCACTCCCCCTGCTTGTGTTCCCTCTCCCACTCCCCCTGCTTGTGTTCCCTCTCTCACTGTGTCTCTCTCTGTCAAACAAATAAAATCTTTAAAAAAAAAAATATGCTTAATAAAGTCAATAGTGGACATGAAACAGAATCCTAAAAAATCTCAATAAATCCAAAGGAAGACAGGAAAAGAGGGAAAAGGGAGCCAAAAGAGATGGGACAAATTAAAAACAAGTAGCAAGGTGACAGATTTAAGCCCAGCCGTAACAGTAATTGCATTTAACATAAGTGATCTCAACCAGGGGTTGGCAAACGATGGCCCACAGGCCAAATCTATCTTGCTCTTTTTGCACAACCCCCAGGCTAAGAATGGCTTTCACATTTTTCAATGTCTCAAAAGAAAATGAAAGAAGAGCCATACACTTCATGACACATGACATATAAAAGTCAAATTTCGGTGTCAGTATCCATAAATAAAGTCTTATTGGAACACAGCCACACTCATTCATGAGTGTATCATCTCTGG